CTTTGATATACGAGTCTCAGACTCCAGGGGCCCTACTGCTGGGTACGCGTATGACTTCCTCTGCTGATCTAGTCAGCAGGATCATGCGCGTAGCAGTCGGTCCGTGGCCCAATTTCGCAGCTGACGTAGTACTACCATGGATGAGCGCAACCTCCCTCGTGCCTCGTCCGGGTACTAGACATAAAGGTCAAAAACGGTCAACGAAAGATCAAAATGATCATCGTTGACCATTGATCACCGTTCAACTGTTTGGTAACGTTGAAATGAAAAGAGTACAGTCATCTCAGAAAAGCTTGACCAAGTTACATATTTTATTTCGAAATTACACAGCAATACAGGCATATGTATAAGCATACTTAGCCTTCAATCGAGATACCCTCGATTGAATTTGGGCTGTTGACCCTTTCACCTCATTGCCCTCGATCCCACCACCTCTTTCCCTTGATTCCCATCCGATACCACCAATACCCATCCAATACCTCCATGCCGCGAAAATCTAAGAAGGAAATGGCCGAAGAAGAAGAAGTGAGAAAGCAATATTTCGGAGTTTTCAAATCTCTTTCTCTCTTTCTTTCTTGCCTCGATCCCGTCTTTCTATAATCGACACTAACAATTGATCTTCGTAGTGCGTGGCATCGGGCTCGTCAGGCTGGACGAGAAGGCCTCAGTCCTGATGTTGGCAGGACTGGGACTCCTTACTATTTCGATAAGTGAGTGATTTATCTTTTGGTTTCTTTCATGAAGGTTTTCAGAAGTACTGACTCTCTCACTAACGGTTTTTAGACCCGGTCATCACTGGGAGAACGGTTGATACGGTAAATGACAATATTGCAATACCGATTTGGTTCATGTTGATCCCTTTGCTGAGCCTGGCTTCCGGGAATTCGCTTGCCCTTTCAATGTTCATCCCGGTGAGTTTTCTTTCTAATCTCACTTCTTTCTCACATCGAAACAAACTGACCTTTGATTCACCTGTAGAAATCAATGTCGATGCTGGTATTGTACCAATGGTTTTTCCAGTAGGCCACCAAGGCTTTGAATTTCCTATACCGGCTGTTGAAGAACATCATCACAGTGTTTCAAATGTGGTCCATCGGGATCCTACGTTTGGTGGTCAAGCATTAGGACGTCAAGGATCCATTGTGATTGCTTCTAGTAAGTCAATCATCTTTTCTTTTCAAACCTATAGATCAAGAAACTGACATTGATCCTTCCAGATTGACATGTCGATGTGGATTTGACTGTTTTGCCAAGTCCAGCTCCGCAAGTGACTCAAAGTTCTGAATTGCCCGTTGCCGCCATCCCCGAATTCAAGCCAACCCGAGCCAAGATGACCTTCCATGTTTACATAGCTGACAATCTCACAGACGCTCAGAAACGATCCGGAATACCTGTGACTTACTCCGACTATCTCACCAAGCTGGCCTTCGACATCCTCATCAACATCCATGGGTGTTCTCTTCTTGAATTGAAGAGATTGCTTTTCATGGCCTGCAACAAGAACCGATCCGGATGTGGAACTTTACTCAGTGATGCCGACGCTGAACGACGAGTAACCCTTAAAGGTTACATCTATCATGGTGGGGTCTTTGGTAAGTCATTGGAGCCAATAATTGACTCAGAAGAAATATTCGATCAGTTCAAGGCGATGATGATCAAGAAGCCTACCAACAAGGTTGGGTTTTCTCTCAACATGGACAACCCGAAGGTGCAAGCTCAGACTGACAGTAAGGTATGTGAATTCCATTTCTTTTCCTCTCATCTCTATCTCTATCTAATACTGACACATTCAACGCATCAGGAATTGAAGTTCAATCGTGCGATGCAACACAACATTCCTGATGTGTTGGATGACGACAAAAGAGCTGCAGTAGAGATGTCGGTGAGTCTTTTTCCATTTTCTATTCTATGTCCATTCTATTTCTTATTGATATTCATCATTGATTTGAACCAGAGCATTGAAGTTGATGCCAAGGTTCAGGCCCAACGAGTCATGCTGATGACCATGTACGGAACTACCTCGATTGACGGGAGAGAGTGCATGGGTATGATCAACACCAAAGACTCCTCCTTGGCAATGCATCTATCACATCTAGCATTTGACATCTGGGCAAAAGCAATTGTAAGTAATCTTTTTCATTCTTTTTTTGCACAAAGGTTATCAATTAATTTTCTATTGATTCTTTTGACACAGGTGAATAAGGTACCAGGAGTCACCATCAAAACACCACCTTCCGGAAAGGAGTTCCAGTGGCTACCCATCAGCAATGCCCGCTCCAACAATCAGAACTCGACCATCAGTTCACTCGGTGCGTTGCTTGTGATGACAAACAACCAAGGAACTGCAGCTGAAGCTGCACCTCGAACCAATTCTCCGGCCCCAAGGCCATTCCCTGAGTTTGAAGAGTATCTCACCTTTTTTTCAATCAGCCCCGACGACCACAAAACTCGCGATCTCCTCACGAAATATGACATCGTTAACTTCGAGATGTTTTTATCGTCTGAGCTCAGCTGCTTGGTAATGGCTGGGTTTGGGTTTGCTTTTGGACCCCGTCTTTGACTTCATGAAAAAGCACCAATCTATCGTGATATCCTCAAGAAGAAAAACAATCCCACTTTCTCATTCCAATGTTGTTCAATCAAAAAAAATGTACTGGTCTCCTCCTGTGAAAGAGTAAGATTATCGTGTTGTAGCCACAGTATACTATAGCCAAATCACTTCCTATCTATTGTTGTCTGTTAAGTTTGAATGAAATGAATGCTTGTTTGTGTAATAAAATTGTTCTTTGGTGAACAATTCAATACAAAAACCACCTCATGAATCAAGTCCCATGTGAGAGTTTGTTATTCAAAGGTTAGTTTTTTTCTTTTCATTCAAAACTTTAAGATTTATCTTAAGACTTTTGAAACATGAGATTACCACAAGACATTTCAAGAGTCTTAAGAGAAATCTTAAGGTTTTGACTTGATGTTTTTGAAACATTTGAGGCTTCACTCTCTAATGTGGATTCATCTTCCTCACTCAACTATTCTGTGTTATTCTGGTCAATCACACTGAATGGTTTGCAATGAGAGTATTTTTTGATAAAAAGACAATACATTTGAAGACACCTCATTGAAAACAAACATTTGAAGACACCTCATCCACAACATTTGAAGACACCTCATCCACAACATTTGAAGACACCTCATTGAAACAAACATTTGAAGACACCTCATTGAAACAAACATTTTAAATCACCTCATTGAAACAAACATTTTAAATCATCTCATTGAAACAAACATTTTAAAACACAACATCATCAAAGAGTCTGTAACCACAAGTTTTATATAAACCAACCATGAATGTGCTGGTACAGACCTCACTCATTACGCTCATCATACAACCCAGCTTGTCAACAGCCTGAGCAAATAGCCTGTTCCGACGGAGAACATCCTTGAACACCTTGAATGTTTGTTCGATCGGATTGAAAGACGGCGAGTAAGGCGATAAGTAGACAATAAGGACGCCTACTTCCGCCCACAACGCCTCGATGACGCCACAGCGATGGATTGTTGCATTGTCCAAGATCAAGACCGAGTTTCAACTTGGGTACGGTGCCATGACGGGAAGCTTGATTAATTTCAAGATAATCAGCTCATGATGAAATATAAGAAATGAATGAAAAATATTTGACTTACTAGAATGTGCTTCAGAAAGGCTTTGAATTCGGGTTGGTGATAGGCACCCAGCTTGGCATTAACTGCCAGTAATCCCAACTCACAGATTGCCGCTAGCATGGAGTAGTGGGACCCGGCTCTAGTACGTCTTATAGCGTTCGGTCGTTCCCCCTTCTTGGATCTGACTTTGTCACATTGCACGTCTTGAGGTCGAATGCCAGTCTCATCTTTTAAACAGGTAAATATAATCACATCAGTAACAAAGCTTTTGAAACAGGTAAATATAATCACATCAGTAACAAAGCTTTTGAAACAGATAAACAAAATGTTCACTAACCTAAGAATACCAAGCACTCAGGTGCTAAATGAGCAACATCACCCAAGTAGACTGCTTGGTGTTTGAAGGACTGATTAATGTCGAATTCGGCTGCTTTGTGAACGGTGAGAAATAAGCGTTCCTTGAGATCATTTGCAATTGTAGCTCGAGAAGCAATGTGATCAGTGTGATTGAACATCGCGGCTTGGATTTTGTCTAGGAAGAGAGTCGGATTGGCTTTGATGAGTTCAACCATGAACTCTCGATTGACGTCTGAGTGGATGGTCTTTCGTCCACGTTGCTTGTAGGTATTTGGGTTCCTGACGACGGCTTGAGTCTTGTTATAAAGGATCTTCCATCGAGAGAATGATCGCGGTGAGATGGATGTGAGTAGGTCGTCGTTGATGGATTTTACAGTCTGTCCGGCCATGAACTTGGTTAACGCGATGACTTTGATTTGGGCAGTGTATTGAACATAAGGCATCTTATAAGGACATTAGAAAAAATAAGAAGAGGTGGACGAGATCAATGAAGAGATAAGGAAGTGGTATGGATGGAATGTATAGGTGAGCTGTTGATCCGGTCGGATCTCCAGTTTGAAATTCAGTACCAGTACAAGGCTATGCTTATACATATGCCTGTATTGCTGTGTAATTTTGAAATAAAATATGTAACTTGGTCAAGCTTTTCTGAGATGACTGTATTTCGAATGAAACTTGAAAAGCAATCGAAACATTTTAAAATCCATCGTTCCATCCATCACGGTCATCAACGACCAAAATCTTTGTTCTGTATCATCAGACTTCAATTCACGTAAATCAAAGCATCATGGAGCGTTGTTCTTGCTCTTCCCTTCAGTCTCTCACACCTGAAAAGCGCGTCAAAGATCAAAAGTTGCTTAAATTGCAATTTCTCAAATAGCTCCTTGCTGTTCAACAGCAACAATTTCAAATCTTTTGCTACTTTAGCACGGGTATGCAGGCCTGTGCAGCTCAAGTCCTGCCTCATCTCACCAAAACTCCGCGTCTTACTTCCATCCTCAGCGGTCAGGCTTGGATTGATGAGCTCATTGCTAGTCCAAATAACTCAGTTTTCTACGATAATCTTGGAATGAACAAATCTGTTTTTTTTGAACTACGTTCAGTACTTGAAGGAACTGGAATTTTATATGACTCCCGTTGGATCACCGGAACTGAGAAGTTGGCTATCCTTATCTATACTGTCATCACCGGCCTTTCTCATCGTAAACTTCAAAATTGTTTTCAAAGATTGGCTGATACTATTTTTAAGTAATTCATCTATCTTTCATTTTTCGCTTTTTTTTTGCTTCTTTTCAAATTTTCTCATCACTATCTCTTTTGGCTAGGACAATCAATCACCTTATTAAAGGAATTTCCAACGACGGAGATTTACTCAGCAAATATATTCCTCTTCCCAATGCCAACACTCCTCTTGCGGATGCCTTTTCCGAGAATCCGAAGTTCATGCCTTATTTCAAAGACTGCATCGGTACAATTGACGGTACACACATTCCGGTCACTCCGCCAGCTTCCGAATTCATTCCTTTCTCTAATTGTAAAGGCTACACATCTCAGAACATTGTTGCTGCGTGCAATTTCAACATGAAATTTATTTATTTATTGGTTGGAGCTGAAGGAAGTATGGCCGGTGGTGCTCTTTGGACTTTGGCTCAAAGTCGTGATCTTACTATCACCTGTGTCACCTGTGTGAAGTGACATACATGCCCTGGGTAAAGTGCCATTTACCCAGGGCATGTGAGCCGGAATTTAGCTGCGGAGCAGCTCAGGACTCCTGGAGCAGCTTTTCAAAGCACCATAAGTTTCTTTCATCAACCTCAAACACATTCTAAATCACCTCGGGGGCCATTACAGAGGTCTATTCTCCTTAATTTATACTTTCAGTTAGTATGGATCCCAAGTTTCTCTCGAACTTCTGACCAGAGCGCTCTGACAGTCTCCAGAGCGCTCTGACAGTCTTCAGAGCGCTCTGTACACCACATCTAATAAGGGCGTCTGGACTCTGGTGTGAGAGAGATGCACCATGCACCAATCGCCGCCATCACCCACACTTTAGCCCGCGAACCAATTACAACAAACCCAATACCACACACTAGGAGCGTTCAAACATGAAAACTTCATATTTTGAAAGAGATTTTGAAGCAAAAATCTTTGAACCGTGATTCTCGTACAGAAGAACTGTGATTCTGGTACAGGTATGTATGGATGTATCTCGAGCTCTGGAGTGTGCTCCACTTCAAAATGATAGGGAGGCACATCCATACTCAGTGATACTCCCTTCTGATCATATCTGTACGAGAATCAATGTTCATCTGTACAAAAATCACAGTTCAAAATTCTCGCTTCAAAATCTCTTTCAAAATGTCAAGTTTTCAGCTTTGAACACTCCTACTGTCTTTCAACCAACCGGATCAACATAAATCCTGACTTCACCCTCCACATACTCAACATGGCTTGGCTTTGATAGCTCACAAAAAATTAACCGTGACTCATTGATTCCGATCATCAACTCGTCAATTCAATTCACCTCAATCAAAGAACGGATTAACAGGTGCATATTGTTTTAGTAGAACCAAAAGGTAAGTCGAGTTTACAAAGTCACGATAAAGGAAAAATAAATGAGATTTCTAATTCGGATCTTACTCCTGGTGTTACACATCGCCTTCATCTTCATCACCTACATCAAACCAACCAAATCGATCCTGCTCTTCATCAAAATCCATATCATCCATCCCCATCTCATCGGCTTCATCAACGTCAAGCGGCTCTGCCTCCAGAATTGGGGCTTCCACTACATTTCGCCAGGCTTCTCTAGATCTTGAAGCTAAATTGGTCCATTGAATCTTGAGGTCAGTCTCACTTTCTGGAGACAATCGACTGTACTCAAGAGTTTTGTTGACAATTTTCATCATCCCAACGTTCCATGTGATCCATAATCGACCACAAGTCTGAGTTAGGTGGGCTAGAAGTGAGAGCAACACTTCCTTGCTCTCAGCTAAGCGCTCAGCCATGTCTGCCTTTACCGACCCCCCTATCTTTATGATCCAAGTGTTTGAAAGGCTACTAACATTGTCATCTACATCCCAAGTCCGCATTGTACATTAGAAGTAGCTCACTGCCAAGAAAGGTGAGTCATCACTTACCTCGTAGTGCAAGTGCATCACAGAGTACTGATATCTTCTGTTTGACACTTGCAGCCCACTTGATCATTTGACAACACTCGCGACCGACCCGAGTAAGCTCATCATGAGCGTGCGTCATTGCAAGGTAGGCCTGTATGCCCTCTTGCGTCTTTGGATCAACTGCCCAAGCCTCACCAGGATGTGTCAATTGACCAACATCCCAAAAAGGATCGTACACCGAAAGAGCTCGGCAATTTTCAAATGATGGACAATCAAATACGGGTCCATCTGGAAAATCAGCATTGAATCCATCCACCAGACGTTTGAAGGTATTGTATTTCGATTTGAAAGCCGTTTGTTTTTCCCTTAAACTTTTTTTCATTCTCTGTTGAACACGAGTACCTGTTGTATAGTTTTACCTCCAGAATCAGTGTAATTCATGTATATGTATATCTCAAATAATGATCACAAACCAGCTTGTTCATCACTATGCTTCTGCATAGTGAAGACGTCAATTTTGGCAACATGAAGCTTATTCTTGGCCACCCGGAGTCGAATCAAACCACGACCCTTGGGTGCTGGGTTCAACAGAAGAAGTTGATTAAACAGAGCCTCTCATCTCGATCCGAAAAGATGAACTCACTTGCAGCACCAGGGATATCTCGATATTCATCCCCTCCAAGCTCGTCCACCAACTCGTCAATTTTTGCCTTTAGCACCCGAATTGCTTCAGGTAGAGCTGTGAACTCGAGTTGCTCTGCGTGGGTCCGATCGCCTCTACGTTTTGCTCGCAGCGCTACCAAATCATCTCTATGCAGACACAAAACCGGAAAGTATATCAACTAACTTGTCACATTAGTTGGATGTCTCGTTACTCAACTCAGAGGTATGCAGGCTTTGCTCTAATCCAACAAGCTTTGCCAATTTTGTACTCAAGGTCTGCGAATTCTCGTGAACCAATGCATTCAACTGACACTCGCGTTGACGATTCCATTGTTGAATAAAGTAATCTTCATTGTAAAGAGGCTCTCGCTTAAGAATTTCCAGTTTGACTTTGTTTTCTAAAAACTGTTTGCGGGCAGCACGTTCTCGTGACTGCAACCATTTTACTACAGATGTTGTACAATGTCAGTGTGTGAGATACGATGTTGTTCATGTTTCACAAGAAAAATTCCACACCCAAGTTTGCCCGTCCTACCTCATTATGATGTTGCCCTCTTAGATTCAATGCACAAAGTCGATGAAATGAGGTTGAATACCTCAAACCACTGATCAGCGATGAGAGCCTGGACCAAATACGTTCCATGCCCTCACCGTCTGACAGACCCCAGTCCATGTTCAGCCTTGGGTTGTACTGCAACTGGCAAGTCCATTGGTGTACGAATGAATGGAAAACACTTGTTCCAAACATCAGCAAACCAGCGTCTCGCTTGTTTGCAAATAAATTACGCTGGAGAACAAACACATACACCGTCAATCAAAGTCAACTGTTCAAGGATTGATACATCAGACTCACTTTGAGTATGCCTCTCTCCATATTACAGCCGATGTCATAAAGTACACCAAACTTCATATTATGTCGACTGCGTTCCATAAGCCAGTCCAGCATAGCTACGGGGAAATGACCCCTTTGAAGATACAATATCAAAATGACACTTATATAAATTGATTGGGAGCAAGCTGTACAGTTTCACTAACTTTTCGCCACTCTGAATTATATTGATGAATTTCAATATATTATCGTGTCGACAGCCGCACGCCGTTATATCCCCAGAACTATTCAAAGCGGAATTGGATGATCCTAGTACAGCTCGCTCGATTGGGTTCTCCCATGGGCTTAAGCAAAATGCACCAGGCATCCCCTCGGACCCAGTTTGTACTCGGGTTCTGGAGAACCTCGGGATCAGGAATCCCTCGGCCGCGGCTACTAGATTCGTTTCCTCGGATTCGCTCGCAGCGAATCCGCGAATCACCGCGCGAATGAAAAGAGGACGGAATGAGAAATATGAATTTGCACACGTGAATTACGTTGAAATGAAGAGCCGGAGAAACGAGGAAGCGCCGAAGTAAGAATGTACAAAGAAAGCGTTCAAAAAGCAGAGAAACCGTTCAAATAGTGAAAATGAAAAATGCTGTATACAAACGTGTGAATCGCGTTCCGAGCCAAGTTGCGTTGAACGACATAGTGCTGGCCCCAGTCGGTTGAAAATTAAGAGAACCACAAAGCATACCCTGAGTTCTGCGCTGATCAAACCTTAAGAGTGCGGAAAGTTGAGACATGGGAGCGGTTGTCGGCGCGTATGTTTCCGGTCGCCGTTGCTTGGCTGGCCTATTCGAAGCTGTTGTACTTGCGTAGGGTGGAACT